TCCTTCACTTCATACATAATATAGGGGTTGGCTCCTTAAAGACAGCAACTGTATAGAGTATAAAGCATTGAGTATTCTGCATGTTACAGTCATGGCTGGTAATTCCCATTTCACAAACCAAATCAAGATTCATGGCAGAAATTTAGGCTTAATATCTTTCAAGACTCAAAGAATTTGGAGCCTGAAAGACAACCAAGGGTGCTTAGAAAGTTTCTCTTCACCCCATGTGATGAGAAAGTTGAATTCAAACGAATTTGAAGTGGAATAGCCTCAGAGCTTAATTTTGGTGAAGCAGTCAGGATGAAAAGTTGTTGAGACACGAAGAGACGTGGAAGATGATGACTCAAGCCCGGAGAGAAAGACCATCAATTAGTGGTCAGAGTCAAAGCATATTTAGCTGCAGCACTTGGTGATGACATCAGCCTGAAGTGGTGATCAAGTTAAGTGGAAACAGAGAGAATTGTGACCAAGTACACAAATTTGTTTGCTTGGTTGTGAAAATTTACACAAAATTTTGAAATTTAAAATGATACATAGGATAAGAAATAAAACTGAGTCTAGTGGACTAATGAGAGTAACAGCTCTTTCCAAGGAGGCTGGGATAAAATTATCCAATGCCTTGATCGATTTAGATGCAGGGGGGAAACCTGCTTTCATGAGCCAGGTGCTCAATATTCTACCTGACCCGTGCCCTAGATGTGAAACTGAAAAGGAAATGATTGATTAGTACATGTATATGATGAAATGCTATTTATGTAGTTAAGAGGAGAGATGTAGGTGGTGTGGCTGCAAGGTTGAGGAATGTGCTTATTTGGACATTTCTTTTTTGGGTTTTGTTATAGTTTTTGAGCAAACATATTAATATGATCCTTAACAAGAGGTAGGACAATGAGATTGTTGACATATGCTTGTGGGGTGTATTCCTACATGTATTACATATTCATAATGAGGTCTGATGTAGGCTTTGTAAATTTGAATGATCGGTGGCTGTTACAGCCTCCTGTTTCACCTTGTACATAAGTGTTTTAAAGGAACATCATATTTCTGTAAGAAAGCTAACTTAAAGGGGTAATGATAACATTGTTTACACAATAATTATTATTATTTTTTTAATTACTACTAGATATTATGACTAAGCAATGACAGACTGCCCAGAAACATACAGTGGATTAAGGTTGAAACTGATGTCAGTGATAATGTAATTGTAGAGTTAGCTCAATTGAAACAAGAAGATGAATAATGAACAATCTGGTGCATTGGCCACTATCTGTTTTGGTATCTTGGCGATGGTTTCTTGCCTTGTTTTGGGGCTTGTTGGATAGAGAAACAAATGAAAGTGAGTGGCAATCATCTTTTAAAGTAAGATTTTTAGTCACTGTTGATTTTTTAGCACGTATATTTGTATTATGGCTATTGAGTACCTTGGACATCTCTACATATAGTCTACCAACTGTATGATAGTTAAGAAATACAAGAGAGTTTAAACAATCATGTTGATTTTAAACTTTCTGATAAAATTTTGGTAATGGATGCATATTTTTTAACTTCTTTCTATATAGGCATCCTTTTACACACGTCACAAGGTTTTACTGAGTTACATTCAAAATTTAATTAAAGTACTTTAAAACATAGCTAATAATCCGATTTTGATATTATATAAATTTTTTAATTTTTTAATTTTATAAAGTAATATTAAAAATAAATTATCAATTTCCCCTAGTATGAGAATTGTGACATTTGCTCTCTAGTTCTTCTCTAATTCATTTAACACTCCTCTCCTTGATTTATTATCATAAATTAACTAAAATATCAAAATTAGACACATTTTAGGTTAGATAAGGTGAGATTATGTAAAATAAATAATAATACTAATAAAAAGATTTTCACAAGGTATGCTTGCAAGTAGCCCCTTGCATTACGTAATTCAATAAGCTAATGTGAGCTACACATTCCCTACGTTATTTAACATTTTTGTGGTGGAGAAAGTATTCAATTGACATGGTTCAATAAAACAATAAAATAGTTTCACATTACAATATGAAGTCATTCTAGAAAGAAAATGGGTAATTTAGATTTATTTCTTTTTTATGGTTACGAGGTCAGTCAAATTGACCAACTTAGTATAGAGTTAGGGTAGAGAAAATAACAGATAGAATATAAAGGTTTACTGGAAAAAAAAAACTGAAATTTATTTGGGAGGTTTTAGAGATTAAACAAATGAAATTTGACAATTTTCAGATGAAGAAAAGCATTTTTAATCTTAACATGAAAATCACTTTGCTCTTGGAGCAGTCAACACTTGGACTCCATATATATTGAAGGAGAAATTTTTAGTGAAAATACTTAATTAAAAATTATGATTTTTTTGTCTAGAAAAGACTCTCAATGCTTACTGAAAGTTTGCAAAATTTTGGAAAGATACACAAATGATATTATAGTATTGTTTGCAATTAAACACAAAGCTACACAATGGGTTATCTGTGCTCTGCTCACTACGGGTATCGAAACCCGAATTCTAGCATTGTAAGTCTGCAGACATACTGCTGTGCCACTGGGGGGCGATATTATAGTATATGGTTAGTTATAGTATGAACACTCTGAAGGTCAATTTTTAGGTCAAATCAATCAAGCCCATAGTGAGAGAGTTAAAAGTTAAATAAAACTGGTAGATCAATAAGAGAGAAAACAATGTCAAGTAATAAAACAAAGATAGTAGTCAGGATGAAAGATTTTTTTATTTAGAAGGGTTAGAATGTTTCAGAAAACATTTCAATCATCATAATCACTGATGATGAAAAGAAAAGCATTTTGAAATGTATGATACCTATAAATAAGTTTATGTTCTACCTTTTATCTTTTAGATAAAATAAATTATGTCTCATCAGAAAGAAAAAAAAAAGAACAGATAAATTACAAACATAGGCTAAAAGAACTAAAATAAAATGCATTATTTAAGAATAAAACCATAAGTTATAAAAGTTAAAAAAGGACAACGTTTGGCTCGGTTGAACTGACATCAAAATAGTCAAAGACTGTAATTTGTAAAATATTTTTGTCTAATAATAAAGTGTGATTTTTTTCTTTTCAAAAGGGCTTTTTCTCAAGAATTTCATATTCTTCTGTAAATACAAAACAAAAAAGATCATAGTTAATACTACATGAAACTTACACCTCAGGTTATGTGTTTACAGCATGAAATACAGAAAACAGACCCCTAATGAGGATTAAATTGCTTTGTAAATTGGATGATCTTGCACAACATAATACTGAAGAATCTATTGCTTCAATGCTAACAGAAGTAGGCATAACATTAAACGATGAAGCACAAGTACAGATCAAGACTCAGCACCAGAATATATGTATGTGTTTCAATAACTTTTTAAAACACAACAGTCAACACTTAAACCACTTAGAATTATATCTTTAGATATTGTCATATCCATTTGAACTGTAGTGCTACATGAAGAGATGAAGGTACCACAGGATACTGTGAAAACTTCCACTGAGATGAGATGCAAAATACCATTGTTCCTTAAAGTGGTTATGAGGAAATTTAGGTTAATGGTGAGAAATAGTTGGGTAATGTGCAATATTAACAAGTAAGGTATAACATACTTATAATACTCATTAAACACTTTTTTTTTCACTACTGAGTTACATTACTTTGACATTTTTATATATATTAAAAAACTAAAGGTCAATTTCCAACCAACTAAAGTGATTAAGCAGTAAAAACTTAACTTTTATTCTGAAAGAAAATAACTGCAAAATACAATAAGAGATTCAATTCCATGAAATTTAAGGTCTATAATTTTATAATGAAATAAAAATTATATTTCTTTTCACACAAAGTTGAGAAATATATAATGAATGGATGTAAGAAAAGTGTATATGCCAAGCATATACCATTTTCACAGATAATATATATACATTTTTTTCAGGAATTTAAGCTCTGAAATGTGAAATAATACTAAAAATTAATAAGCAAGGAAATTATATACAACATAATACTGTACATGTCTATTTCCAAACTTGTAGATGTGACATCACACACACATCATAAAAAGAAAACATCTTTAAGAACAAACCTCCAATATTGTATCTTCCTGAAATTCTGGCCCTAGTAACATCTCTGGTTCTTCTGTGTTTGCTGACTCCATGGGATAGTCTTCAAACCCTTCATAACCACCAGTTGAATAGCGACGCATTTTTTCAGGATGACTAGAAAGTGTCCTTTTTTTAACTTTTGAAAAGAAAAGGATACATTTTACATTAATCTTTAGGAATATAAAAGAAGAGGTAGTTGTAAACAAGTACTTGCTGCAAAAATAGTATTTATAAAAGTAAGAAAAAATAAGCAGGAAGTTAAAGCTTTATTAGTTCATCTATAGCCCATAACAATTAAATATAAGAAGATATTTTTACAGCATCCTACTGTAAGTAAAGCTTAGTTTATATAACTAAAAATATTTATCAATCAAAGTAATACAGACAAAAATTATGATGTTCAACAAATCAGCTTACAAATTATGCCATTCTTCAAACTGGGAAAATCTTCACGTTCATGCTTTGTGATATTACACTTAATTTTGAATTTTCATAGGCCACTAAAGTCATACAACAGGCAAAGAAAGATGAAAACATTAGAATGTTCTATATATAAACTGATTTGTTTGTGAAGGAAAAGGTGGGTATATGAAATTGTAAACTTGAGATATTCACCCATTTAGCTTACAAAATTTCACATGATATGAACACCTCAATATATCGAAAAAAAAAATAACTGAAAAACCTTTAAGTGCAAACTTTTTAGAAATGTAAAAATACTTTATTGCAAAAATAAAACTAACATGTTTAAGGCCAGAAAAAATATAATATCAAATGACAAACTTTTAGAATAACATTTTTTGTTACTTGTCACATAATTTTGATGTGAATAACTTAACAATGTTAATAAAGAAAAGGATCTTGATGTTTTGGTTGATCAGTTTCTTAAGCTGTTGCTAGTGGAAGTACAAATATGATTTTAGGTTGTATCTTCAAAAAACATTAAATATAAGTCTAAGAAAGGATATAATTTCATTAGGTCACTGGTTAGGTCTTATTTGGAACACTGTGTTCAGTCTTGGGCTCCTTACCTTAAGAAGAACTGAACTGTTGGAAAAGGCACAGAGAGAACTATTAAAATGATGCCTGGAGTAAGAAGTTTGTCATAACAGAACAAACTAAGATCTATGAAATTGTTTTCTCTTGAAAAAAGAAGAGTCAGATAGAATCCAACTAAACCATTTAGGATCTTTAAGGGAATAGAAGTATTGATGCATCTCCTTTATTTTATATTTAATGGTGAGAATGGTAGCACTTGAGGACACAAATTTTGGCAGAGTAGGAATCATTTTCAGCTAAGATGGTTGTATTATTCTAACAGGGTGGCTGATCTTTGGAATTGGAGACCCTCAGATTTAGGGAATTTAAAGGAAAGCTTAATAAATATTTAAATGATAAGGGTAGAAATTGTTTTTCAAGCTTAGTAGATAGGAAAGCCTAGATGAACTAACAGATCCCTTGATGAAACTAAGTTGAATCTATGGAAACTGCCTGTTCCGAAGACGACATTTTGAAAGTCTCCCACCTTTTGTCTTCGGGACGATAAGATACATTAAGTACTTTCAGAGTTATATTAAGTATACCTTCATGGTTACATGGTGGTTACATCATCATGTAAAATACATGAGCTTATTGCAAAAGGGTTAATGAGAAATTAGTTTATTTTAAGAAACAGGTTTTTGTAATAAAAGATAGTTTTGTGTTTATTTTATCAAGTGATGAGAACTTAACATAAAATTTAAGGACAACAAGGGACCTGTTTGCTTTGATAGATTGTTTAGACAGACTATTCATGATGGATGGCAAACACAAGTGAACTTTCAGTACACATTACAAGTCTTTAGTAGAAAAAATTAAAATTTTTAATTTGGTGTTTTTACTAAACATTTGTCCACAAATATATGGAATCATAATGTTCACTTCTCCATGTGCAAAGACTTTAAGTGATTTTCATGTTACAATTAAAAACACTTTTTTTTGTATCAAAATTTTCAAATTTCATTTGTGTAATCTCCAAAACCTCCTAAATACACTCCAAACATTTTTTCAGAAAACTCTGTATTTTATCTGTTATTTTCTCAACCATAATTATACAGTCATTCATTTTGACTAATCACCATCAAAAAATAAAAAAAAGTCTAAATTACGTTTTTTCGTTCTAGAGTGACTGCAAATTATAACTAAAAACCAGTTGTTTATCCTGAATAGCTTAAAGCTGAAGCAATTGAATATTTTTGGAGGGAATTTGGCAATTGCTTCAAGATATTTAATAATCAAAAAGAGTTTAAGAATAAAGTTATAACAATTTTCCGCATTTTAAGTGAACATATACATGGAGAAATGGCGTAAGTAAAGATGCCTGTATTGCAAAATGAGGCCAAAAACTAGAGAGTTCAACTAGCAAGGTCAGTGGCATAGAGAATTACGTAAAGATATTGCCTAGCAATGAAGTAAGTGCACGAGCACCCGTGATAGGTTGATGGATTACTGACGCTAACTTGTTAGCACTAAGAAAGCTATGAAAAAGTCGTTATTAACAAGCAAAAGTGGTACTTTGATGCGATAACCCTCACAAGACACTGGTGTATTAGTACAAGTGGAAAGGCAACTGACTAACTCAACATAACAGTAACCAATCACTTGAGAGTTTTGGTTATGGTTCTGGGTTAGCCCGGGAATTTGCACAGATTGACCAATAAATTGGTAGGACTACTTGCGAGTAGTTCTGGATACTATTTGGAAGGTCGAGAGAATGCCAAGAAAATATGGTTTAAAAACCCCTGTCTGAAATCAAAAAATCAGTTTTCCTCCAAGTTCTTGAAGTGTTATCAAGTACTCAACTCTACCATTCATGAATATGTATATGAAAGTTTCAAACCTTTGCAAGTTTACAAATCCAGCTCTGTTGTAAGTATAGATTTATGGTTTCTCTCTTGATCAATTAATGTAAGTAATCTTAAGAAGAATATTCATGTTCAACTAAAAGAAGTGCATCTATGTGTATTAATGGATAGTATAGATTAACGGTATTTGAATGTATAATGATCAATAGACTTTTGATTTATATTGGATGTTATTTGGAAATGATTAATAATTTGATCAATGTTGGTCTGGGACTCTGATTATTTATTCTAACCATAAATCACCTCGAGTTAACAACTTGTGAGCTCCACTCGCCACTGCAAATCCTCCATTAAATAAACTTGGTGTGACTGGCAGTATAACTGAAACTCCAACAGTTAAGACCACAAGGGTGCTGCCCTTTGCAAAGCTCATAACAGCATATATATATCAATTATTTTATTGACTTCTGAACCATGTCTAACTAATAATCCCGCCAAACAAGTTGTAAATTCTTTGGTGAATGTGCAGCTCAAGTTACTGCATTGAATGATATAACACATGATCTGCTTGCAAGCATACCTTGTGAATAATTTATATTTTTTTGTCATTATCTTACCTAGACCTTGCGTTATTTGACCTGATAAGTTTTTTATTTTAGCTTTTACATTTTTGTTATTTTTATAATAATAAATAAAGAATGTATACTAAAAAAAACAGATATAATACTTACCTGGATCTTCTTTGTTTTGCTGTTGACTGTCGATGAAGCTTAAACTTACATTTTAATACAAATGGTACAACTATACTAAATTTTTTATTTAACCTTATCACCATGGGTTTCCTTTACTGCACATGGCACAAAATTTTTGTGCCTTACATTTTTTAAACTACTTTTTGTTTATGTTATACCAATTAGTATAGCATAAAATCTTAGCTAATAAT